TGTCCTGCCCATTCAGCCCCATTTTGAAGCTTCTCGTGACATTCTGCTTGCTTTTGATTACTTCATGGTAATCAGGCACCTTAGCCAAACTTTGTCTTGTTTACAAATCTGCTTTTGTCCCCTGTCGTCCTTTGGCTTGCCTGCAGTCTTCTCAATGCTACTACTTTTTTCCCCTCGCTCTTGTTCCACAGACCTGCGTTCATGCTTTCAACTCTGTGCAGGTTCTGGTCATCCTTCTCTTCCTCTCTGGGTTCTTTAAGTGTCACTGGAAGGTCTGTGGCTCCCGTAAACCATATGCCCTTCCTCTGCAAAGTCATCTCCCTTACTGAAACTTTATGCTTTTGAAGGTGAGGGATGTGCCTCTCCTTTCGGGCATCAAGTTCTGTGAGCCTTCAGTAAAGAGTTGTTAGTGACAGGCACCTAAAAATCCCATTTCTTAATTTTAAAGGCTTAGTGACACATATGCAGACTTAACAGCAGAAGTAACAAGTTTTCACTATGGATTTGAAAATAACTTTTTTTTCCCCTTCCATGCATGCTTTTTTCCCTGCTGTAGCTGACAGCATGACTAACGCCAAAAGGAGAACAGCATGGTCTGAGTGTGCTAGGATTTGCCAGAACCCTAGCCTTTGTGGCTGTTGCAAGCTGGTGGAAAAAGTGTTGGGGGAATGCCTATGTCAGAACTTCAGACCGTAAAAGGAGCACAGCTCCAGATCAGCTTCCCGATAGGAGACAGGGAGGGAGGCAGCGTGGGTGGAAGGCAGGCTTTCTCATTGTTTTTCGTTACCAGGTGGACGCTCGTCATCCTCTTTTCTTGCAAGTAGTAGATTGTATCGAGGATGGAGGAAATGGGCAGGAACAGAGTGTTGCAGACATGCTTGAAAATATGTTGTGCTGGTGCCTTGAAGAATAAAGCTCTGCACTTCTGCCTGTTTCCTCAGTTGGAAAATGTGAGATATTTTGAAAGGCAGGTTAGATCTCTTTGCTCAGAGTGTAAAAAAGTAGGATAGTACTCGCTTCCCAGCCCCCCTCTTCAATTTGCTGACATTCGGCACACCATGAACGCGTCCACCTTTGACCAGACCAGTTTTGCAGATGGCTTTGAATGACAGCTTGCTGACCTAAAGCAATCCCTGACTACTCTCTTGATTACTAGCATTACTAAGTCTTATATTACTTTATCTAACCGGTTGAGCACTTCCATAGCATATAAGTTTTTAAAGATGCAAGTGACGTCACCATCTGATCTAATCTCTCTGCCAGCTCAGAATTGTTGCCTAAATCTGCTTCAGAGTGCTCTGCCTGCTGACTGTGATAATCTCTAACGCTTCCGAAACCTCCTCCTCCTCCTGGTCGTCTCTCGGGTTAGCCTGGCAGCTCAAAGTTTAGCTCCAGGGGAAACTGCCCTGAGAGCCTTAGGGAAGCCACAGGAACACGCTTTCTGTCGTGCAGCGACAGGTGAATAAAGTTTACTGCCTGGAGAAGTCAGCCCAAACCCCAGGTATTGCATGCAGAGGGGAAGCTCAGTCAGACGTAAGGGGGGATTATTTCTGAGTTTTCCTTTAGGCGTACGCACTTCCAGTGCAAATACAGAGCTCAGCCACGTGACTTCAGCTCTGAACATCACAGCACTTCACGCTACAGGTTGTTACTTTGAATCTTCTTTTTGCCTGGTTTTTTACTTTCTACGTGACGTCTGAGTGACTCTAAACCCCGTCATACAGCATCCTAGCAGATGTGCCTTGTTCTGTTTCTTTTCTGATCTTGGAACCGCAGGGGATGTAGCCTGAGATCTCATCACAATTGCCGCAGCAGCCCCAACCCAGCAAGCAAAATTGACACCAAATTATGGTAAGGGAGGCTGCTGAACACAGGCATGCCACCACACAGCGCTCCTTGGGGCTTTTTAAGCCACCGCTCTCTGAGTGGCACCTCTAATAGCATCCTATATGGTATGCTGTGTTTCTGTGGTCAGCACTTGGTGCTGGCGGACAAACTACAGATGAAACGAGAGGCTGATAACTATCAGCTGCTTGTGCCTGGGAAAAGCACTAGTACCAGTATTGCCATGCTGGTGTTGACTTCTGCTTGGTTGGGCTTGCCAGGCTGTTGGTTTGTTTCTATTTTTGCTGTGGATGTATTTTTCCTGAGCATTAAAGGTGGGTGCAGAACAGAGCAAGAAAATAGTCAAATATGTGTTACCTGATTCTCTGGCAAGGTATCTTGCTATTGCCAGGCTCTGGTGAATGGTAACTCCGCCTACTTCCAGAATGGGGATTTTGCCGAATGGGATAGCTTGGAGGAGAAAGAAAAAAAAAAAAAAAAGAAAAAAAAGCCAAAAGTAAAATCATAGCCCTTAACAGTGGGGAATCTGTAATAGTTGCACTTTTGCCACTCAGAGGGTATGCGTTGTTAAAGCATCTCTATCACATTTACTGGTGTGATCGCGACTAGAAGGCAATTACAGCGTAGAAACCAGGTGTTGCATTTCCTATTTCCTAGCCTTGTGCTGTAAAGGCTGAACGTGCTCCTACATATCCTGAATTCTTTATGCAGGGAAACTTTTCAGTGGACTCTTGTTTTTTCCTTCCCTTCCCTACTTTTTCCTCCCCAGGAGAGTGACTGCCAAGGTTAAGCAAAGTACTACTGAAGATTTTGTAGTGCAGGATCCAGCTGGGGTATGAAGTAAGAGTTTGGGTAAAGACTACAAAGGCGCCTTTTCACTTACGCTTGTTTTAAATTCAGAAGCAGTAATTAAGAGAAGTATCTGTATTTCAGAACTTACATTGTGACAAGACATTTTACTTGATAGTCATCACCAAGAGACAAATACAGCTTTCACACTGAACCGCAAATGCCAAGAAGATACTCAAATTTGCTCGACTTGGCTTGCATTAAAAAAAAATTTAGCCTGTCACAGGGAAGAAGCCTCCAGACTTTAAGTACAGGGAAAGACAAACTAAGCAGGCATCATGGATATCTGTAAGAGAGTTTGAGATAAGAAATCAATCTTATTTTTCAGTTATTAATTTAGTAGCATAATGTACATGAAAACTTGGACCGCTGTTTTGGCACGTTTTGGAGAAGCTGCTGGCATGATATCAAATGGGGCTGGAACCTCGGAGCAAAGCTTAAGCTGGGAAAAACTGTTGCATTTAGGGTGGTGGGAATCCGCTCGTGGGAACCCGGTGCTGTTCACCGGAGGAACTTTAAATGTCTGCATTTCAAAGGATGCTATTTCATAAATTCCAAGCACGTGATTGCAAGTGCTCGGTCACAGCCAAATGCTTTGTAGCCGACTTCCATCTGGATTACACTTTATATAAATAAGATGTATGCCCATCTTAGGACTGTCTTGCCATGTAAAAGGGCGGTAGCAGAAAAGTGAGAATGTTGGCTATTGGAAACATGCAAGATGCTTTCAAACAGGGGAGAACTGTCTTTATGGGACAGCTGGAATGACACTTCTATTCCATGAGGTTTTTTAGTTCTTAATGAAAAGGGAAAAATAATGAAGCCTCATACATTTGTGACCTGTTTATCAAGGCAGCTTCATCAATGATGAACACTGCCACGTGGCTCTGTGGTTTAGCATGCAGTATGTGAATCACATCAGGCATGGGTTCTTAGATGGCAAATCTGTATCTGCAAAATGAATTTGGCAGCTGCACAAGACATCCAGGACTCCTCTGTGCTTTTTTTTTTCCTGCACCTGAACACAGTACTCATGATACCCCCTTTTTTTTTTTTCTTGGTTTCCTAAATTCAGCACACTGTGAAGCCAGTATAAATTCTGATGCTGATGACTAGCAGAAGCAAGAGAGCTCAAAGAGCATTAGCTGCTGTACCCCAGGGGAAAGTGTGCACTGCTAGTTGTTATTGAAACAATAATAGATCTGTTGCACAGAAGACTCATATGTTTATTATCCAGAGAGCAGTAAGGTCCTGGCAAGTCCATGTATTGCTTCATTGAGAATCCAGAGAGGAAAAGACGCATCCCAAATGCTAAACTGAAAAGCTCTCTGGTTCTGAAAATGAGAAGAGTCTTGGTTCTGCACTGTAGATTAGCAGTGCAGAGTGCCCTGAGCATCACTGCCTGCAAAGCCACAGAGCTGTGAAATAACATTTGCTTATGCAGGATACCAGTGCATCTTTCAAGCAAGCGCGAGTAGAGGGGGTGAGAGTGCGTGTGACTGCTGGACGTGCCGGCGTGGTCAGCCTACAGCCATCTTCAGATCCCCTCAGACCACACAGGGCTGTACACCCATGACTGACAACAGGTAACAGCAGAAGTGCAGCCAGCTCGGGAGCAATAACCGCTGCCCCTGAAGGAGTTAACCGGCCTTTTTCTGAGGCCCCGGTAGGAGTGCTACTGGACTGTTGCAGTTTTGGCTAGGTCAATGTGACTAAGCCAGCCTCTGTAGCAATAACTGTCAAAAGACGATGAATGCTGCCCAGGTTGGGAAACTATAATTGCTTCATCTAGAAACTGAACAGACCATTTTCTGCTGTGTTTACATACGGGGGAAAAGTCTAAAAGCCACAGCTTTTACTGACGTTTCACTTTGTCGGTCACTACAAGGAAAATGAAAGCCGGTTTGTTTGTATAGATATATATATATTTTTTTTTTTAAGAAACCTTTGATTACAGCAAAAGGAGGGAGGCATCTTTCTGACAGTTGAGAAACATGGATTAAGGTGTGAAAGGCAGCTGGGTGGCAGAGTGGTAGTTATCTCTCCTGTTCTGTTTCTCAGGAATCTGGCCATTTCTGGATTCACTTTTTTTTTTTTTCCTAGCAGCCCACAGAATTCAAAGGGATTGCTATTCATTCCTTGAAAACATGAGTAATGCCTACAAAGTGCTTCCTCCTCAGTGCTGAGCTATTTTCATTAAGATCTGGTTATTCTTTCCTAGAAAAGAAACTGAGTTTACAATTAAAAATATACAAATACAGCTTTGTTTTGTGTGCAGTAGAAATATTCATACACTTGCATGATTCATAATGCAAGTATAAAATTAATAAATGAGAACAGATTTTATTGCACATTGCCCCATGAGCCTTAAATGTCCAAAAGGCATTATGCGTTGATTTATAATGAGGCTTGGGGCTTTTTTGCTAAGAGGCAGCGTATCTACTGTCATCATTACTAAACAATGGACTATTTAAAGCATAACAGATAGTAAATGGGAGATGTTCCTTCCTTTCTTGTGTGTTCAAAATGCCATTTGATTTTTTTCTTATAAAGAACAGGAAAAAAAATTGTGATTTGAATATAAACATAGATTTTTTTTTCTTGCTGATAAGAGTGTATGTATATGATTACACACTGACTTTTGTCAAGTGTTGAGTTAATATGCTGTAAATGAGTGCAATTCTGAGAGGTTTGAAGAAAGCACACTTGTGCTGTGCAGATCATTGTAAAAAATCTGTCATTTCTTCTTGCGTGCAGGGCATGCTATTCTTGCACACCAGAAAGTATGGCAGATATCCAGGCTGCTTCACAGCTGAAGAAAATAGCAAAGAACAGTCAAGGGGCAGAAAATATTTATAGTACATTTCCTCCATATTGGAGGAGAAGGTATAACGGCTTATAAAGTTCCATTTTCAGTCTGGAAAAGTTTAGGGAAAAAGAAAAATCTCTTTGCCTTTGAAACATTATTATCCAAAATTCATGTAACAAGACCAAAGTTTTTAGTAAGCTGCAGTGAAGTATCTTTTTGCTGTTGTAACTTAAAAGAACAATTTCCTATATTGATAAATTCATAACAAAACCAGGAGATGGACTGGATATATAAGTTTGGCTGTTGTGGGCAGGAATGTCTTTCCCGTAAAAACTGGAGACTTCTGTTTCCAAGTAGAGGAGAGGGGGGGTGGATTTATGTCATGCAGTTCATCCTAAGGAAGGATGTGAAGAGCCTTCATACTGGATGGGCAAAATTTGATCGCTGGAGGCAAGGTCAGGGTTTGACAAATGATCTCAATGTGGCCTCTAGACTCCTTGCTCGTAGCCCATTTTTTGAAGCACAGCAAAAACCAGAGCCAGGCCATCTACTCAGGGGCTCCAAACTACAACAGAAAACCATCTGTACATGAATTTAAGCAGTGTTACCCTTACTCATGGATATGGGCTTCTGCGGCTTGCTTTGAGCCTCCTGTGGTGCTTTTGGCCCTAGCTCTGCTCATTGACAACACGTGTTCAAGGAACCTCTGGGGATGTCCGAATGTGCCATGTGTATAAGCATTGTATTAAAACTGCTAAATTTTACACGTTTTTGGTGAAAGGCATGGTTCATGTGACTCCAGATGAACAAAACACATAGGTCGGTTCCTGCTGGGCTCCTACATTAGATGAGTGAGTGAAAGAAGTGGCACATGAAGCTGGAGTGTGAGAGGGATCTCATTTGGGTAGAATGAGGGTTGTGGGGGCAAATCATGAAACAATGTGTATCAGAGAGCAATCGTGAATGAACAGTTAAGCCAAAGTAGCACAGACTGGAAGGGTGTGCGTGTCACTTTGCTAGTTTTTCTTTAACCTTGATCGGTTAGGGGGCTGCCTCGTACTTACGTCAGTTTATACCCTTGTGTATCCATATGGATGTCCTTTCCATGTTTTTCAAAACAACGTTGTCTTGCAAAGTTTCTGACTCCCACTTGAGCAAATAAATTTTAAGAAGGAAAACTAGAAAAATCCGTTGCCGTCATTGTACAAACAATGTCATTTTTCAGGCATGCACAAAATATGACCTTTCGCTTTTAGTTTCTGCTTGCTTTGTTGCTCATCTGAAGTAGAAGGCGCTGTGAACGCTTGTGTTGATTTCCAGATTTAGATTGAAAACTCACTGAAAAGAGGAACAGGGTTTTTAAAAAGCATGCTGTTTGGATAACTAAACCTGTAGTTGTCTTTAAATTGAACTTTCATCAGCAAATTCTTGCTTTTCCTACTATCTTGGTTATTCATTGGTTTTAGCATTGCATGCTGGAATGAAATCTGCACAGACTTTACACTCCCCATGAAGAAAACCTTGACAGAGGGTGAGTGTAAGTCATCAGACTGATCTGCAGTCTCTCTCCTCATTTTAGGAAGGACTCACTGAAGTATTTGTACAGTGCTTAGGAGTTGGATGAATTCCTTTTCATACATTAATTTTGATTGGCTTCTGTGACTAGAACTGTGATGTTTATATAGTCTCTGCTGGATACTAAGCAGGGGAGATGAGGCCTGATGTGTGTTAAAAGCAAGGACATCTGTACAAACTGTCTCCATCCCATGGAGTCCCTAAGGGCTGTGATAAC